AAAAAAAAGGTACCATCTGCCTCCTACCCCAGAAACCTGCTGGTCATGATGGCAGAGGGTCTTTAAATGTCCTTATTTGTCTGAATGAAAAATTTCCCCTCCATTGTACAAAAAGAATGTGATCCTTTGTCATTAGGAGATGGTACCACACAAGAAAGGTCACACTGGCATTGGGATTCTTGCAGCATACCAGTGTTACTAGGTAGGATTTCAAATCCTGGGAGAAGAGGAAATAAATGAGCACTGCAATACAACCAGCCCAAACGCTCGTGTTCCATATGATATCCAGACGCAGAAGCAGCCTGATCCTGCAAGATGATGACTGCCCTTGGCTCAATGAAGAGTTAAGGGCACTGACCACCATCAGGTGATAATGTCAGCAGACAAGTCTTGCTTAAGATTATGAAGGGCATGATTCTGAAAGATACTGAGCATTCAACTTAAGATAAAGGCAACAAGATCTGCAGGTACTGAGCACCTCTGCAAATCAGCCCTAAACCTACAAAAAAAAAAATTCAGCTGAATCCTCCAGCACATCCTGAATTCCACATCTAACCAAACAGCACTACATTTTTGTGCGTTTTCCACAGGAATGCACAAAAATGCATACAGATCAAACTAGAAAAATTCGACCTACCCATTGATTTGGGGACAATCAAAAGAATTTTCAGAATAATTCACCCCCGTCCCCCAGTCCTACTAGCATAACCATGACAGGGACAGTCAAATAGACTGGATCTGGGCTACTACATTTCCATGTCTTTTGGAGGGCTACTGTAGGCCATATGCATTATGACTACATAAAGAAGCATAATGGTTAGTTTCAAATAACAGGGACAAACGAAGACCTGAACACATAAGGTTATGGCTATTAACCCCTATGCTGCTGAAGACAGACCCAGAACTTTAAAGCTATATATAAAGATGGATGGTAGCATCTTTTGAAGGCATTTGCCAGGGGTCAGTCTGTATGCCTGGACTGCCCAAAATGCTGAGGAATAGTCTATTGTGCTGATAGCACTACAGTCATGATATCATAGGGGCACCTGTCTGCACCAGTGGTAATCTGTGTTGCCTCAGCATCTTTATTACAAGTCCATTTGCAACTCAAACCTCAAGGTTTCTGGAAAGGAACTTACAGCTTAAGATTTCAGACAAGAAATTTGCTTTTTCTCAATAGTTTTTAAAAGAAACCCTTTTTTGTTTCTTCACCGTCATTTTTGATATGCATGCTTTCAACCTGCACTCACGAGACGTAAGACAACATTCATGACAGCATTTGCAGTCCATCAGACAGACATTTTTCTGATCATTTCCCCTACTTTCTCACGGTACTGTTGCTTCTTCCCCTTAGATAAAAAATTAGCACCTATTAAAGTAACAGTAAGAACTTTCTCTAAAACCAACAACTGTGAGACTCCAGCCTATTTTTTTCAGGCCAGCAGGGGGTGGTAGCATCACCCACAGTTCTGGCAGCTCTGCAATAATCAAGGGACAACAGTGAAGGTCAAGACTGAAGTACACACCCTAGCTCAGAAGGTCTTTATCTCTGTCGATCATAGACAGGACCAAGAGGCTGTTAACATACAATGTAAACAGGAAAGCAACATGGCAGAGTGAGATGTGACAGTTTTAAGCAACGTTTTAAATACCCTGCCAGCAGGCAGCTTTTGCCATGAAATAAAAGAAAATCCCAATGGTTCACTCAGTCCCTCGTCTGGATGACAGGCTAATGAAGAAAGGATTCTCCTCTCCGAATAAATGGATACCTTTGCCCTCCTGCCATCCCAAAAACTGAACTGTAGGCTTGCTTGGCATCAGCCAAGGCTGTCAAACTGTTTCTAGCAAGCAGGTGAAATGCTTCTGCAGGCCCTCTCTTGTCTTTGAAACCTTGGTCTTCCCACAATTTTAAAGACCCCACCGTTTTCTCCCCTCTGATATGAAACGGAAAAGAGGGGCAGGGGGAGCCCTAGGTAGAACCAAACATTTGAAAGAGACTCCATGCTAAACAGGAACACCCCTCCAAACAAAAAGACAAAGTAGAGACTCACTGGATTTGTAGAATCGGAGTACCAGCTTCCTTAGACAGACATATATCATTTAAGACTCAGAACTGTGTACAAGTCTACTGAACAAAACAGTCATCAGAGCAGCCAGAAAGTCTGCAAAGCATGCGCCTGCCCTGGCCACTCTCTAAATCTCCTCCTTTGAAAGAAAGCCCACACCCCATCCTGCACGCTGCTGTCTCACTAGGCAATACACACATTTCTGCTGTGCTGTTCTTTCTTGCATAGGACAACAAAATAAATACAAAATCCAGCCATGATTATCTTAACTGTCTTCCTCCTCTCAAAGGTTTCTCCTTTTCTACCTGACAATAGTCTGTCTCCGGACACAACCTGAGGGAATCTGCTATTTATGACATATGGAGCATGGACACTACAAGTTACTGTACCTGCAGACATCTGTTGTCTTCTTTTGATGAAGACTCAAAGAGTTGCATATTCCAGATCCTCATGAACAGTGATTCAGTTTCTGCTCATGTGATAAAAGCTCCCTCTACACAGTGAGCATGCCCAGTGGAGACCATTTCACTGTTCACTCCAAGCTGCAGCCATTTCACAGAGAACCTGCAGACTTAAGGGCTTCCATTGGAGCAACTATTATCTAAGGCATCAGAGGGATACAGCGTCTGTCCTGGTACAATACAGTTAATAAAGATAATCTGTCAACATTCTGACACAATGCCAAGCCTAAGACTGATCATAGCCTGAAAACCCCTGTTAAAAACCATACAACAATGTGTTTTGTTACAGTGGCCTTCAAGAGTAGCCCTTCCTTGCCTATGAAAAAGAGATGCTGCATATTAGCATTTACATTTGAGGGCACATGTGCTAATTATATTCTGCTTAATAAAACTGTGTACCTTTTGAATGCTGGGATAAATGCACGTGGGTCAATCAGCAAATGTGCAGTGTCCAACTGAAAGTGAATTTGAGATTTGATATGCTGAGTTGAAGGGCCGTCATTTTTCACTTCAGGGATTTATAATACAACGTGACCTTGCATAACCAACCTTAAAAACGTATCAGAAACAGTCATCAAAAAGAAAAAAGTGAATGAACTGATAGGAAAGTAGTAGGTGCAGTAGTTCTGAGCTGAGCCTACGTCGAACCGTAAGATACAACTGGCCCAGCTAGCAGGATAAAAGAAGAAATTTTAGCTTCAAAATCACTAGTAGTTTGCCTCTGTTCCTTTTCACAATTAAGCACAAAGTCTTGCCAACCCTCATATCTGCTAAAGCTCCCAGTAAAACTGCCTGAGCAACTCGCAGGAACATCTGTAAGCAGAGATCAGCTGGACTGGATTCAAATGCAAAAAGTGACATATTTATCACAACGCCAAAGTACGTGGGTTTCTTTATGTTTAATATTTTCTGGAGCACCTCCCACAAGAAAGGGGGAAGGGAGGATGGAAGAGAAGAGAGAAAGAAGCGAAATTCTTAAATGGAGTCAAGTACCTCCTGCTTGTTCTTCAACATGGAAAAATGCTATTCTCCCACAAAGCAGGACTGAGGAAGAAGTTTCCCTTTAAGGCTCAACGTTAAAATAGCCACTAGTTCAACATATTGCATCACAATGAACTGAGATGAAGAGGGAAAGCCTGGCCTGCACAAAGGGAGAAAACACATGAAAATCCACAGTGAGAAGCTGAAAAGCCCAATTTTACATCTTTTAGACAATGCATGAGAATCAAGTACACTAAATTCTAGTTTTCACAGTGAAGCGAATCCTACGAGATTGCCCTTCCTCCCTTTACTTAGCAATGCAAGAGACTGTCATGATCTTCTATTATCACACACTGGAAACAAGCAATATCAATTTTCTCCACCCCATGCATTTACTTCACCATCTTACACATAGACATTTGCAAAGTGGTAATGGTTAGAACAGCAACAGCAATCTTCCATAGCACTGCATCTACTAAAATGACGCTCTTTTCCTCTCTCCAAGCACTTCAGACACGTTTCACTACCAAATGGTTAAAGCATACCAGGCAAAATTGAGAGGATAAAATTGATCAAGGAAACTTAAGGTGACAGAAGGAAGTGAGGATATCACCTTTACTCCTGGGTTGTTTTTCTAAAATAGCTTTCAGGCATATCAATGGGATTTTTTTCTGGCCTTTATTTCAATCACTGGAAAATGCAACAGTAACCTCTTTAATATAAAAAAGGAAAAACACAAAAGACAACCACCCAAAAAAACAACAAAACCTGACAAGGCAGACAAAGGTATATTATCCATTGCAACAAAAGGAGTACTGTAGTTCTAACCAAAGACAGCCCTAAAATAGGTCTGTCTACTGTTACCCCTCTTTGCAGCATGAATTTATAAACCTAACATTAAAAAATATGGAAGGGGATACAACAAATTTCATAACAACTACAAACTCAAAAGAGCTAATCTAGTCAAAACACATTTTTAGAGCTAAACTTTCTCTCAAACCATGTTACAGTATTCATTCTTTCAGTAGGCTCACAAAGACAGCACTTCTTACTGCAGCTCAATGCTACAAATGTTTTCACTGATAAAGTTAAAAATACATGGAAAACAGAAGTTAATGCAGATGCCAATTTGTTTTTCAAGTCTCCCCTCCATTTTGAAAGCATCTCTTCCCAAGCCTTACAGACTGATACATTTTCAAACAGCATATTGGGGACACTTCAACAATTCACTGAAAACTCAAGCAAAACAATCAATTAGCATCTTACCAGGCACATTTCACAGTGTCACAGTGACACTGTACAAAAGGATCAACATGATTTGTGCGTTAGTTATTGAGGTTATGGTCAAGTTATTTACATTTATGAAGTCCAAAGAGAAAAAACGAGTTCCTAAGCAGCCCTTAAAATCTCACACGCCATTAGCTGCACCACACTGCCATTCAAAGGCCAGTCTCCTAAAGCAACACTGGTACGTGCATCATGTCTGCTTCAGGAGCAAAAAAAATTAAGAAATAAATCTCTTCTTTTGGAACTAAAACCGTTTCATGGAAAGCTGCAAGTCGCATTGAGATAATCAGTTACGATACCTAGGAGTGAAGTTAAACAACAATCTTGTTCGCAGCTCTTGAGTTTAACTGTGTCCTGACAGACCCAAACGCTGTCATGTTACTGTTTCATGCCCAGGACAAAGCTGTAGTCGTGTTTTAAGGTGCTTACTGTTTGATGGAAGCTACAGTGCTTCTTGCTCTGTTTCCTACTTGGTCCACATGAACAACAGTCCTGCTTTGGCCACATGACCTAGCTCCCTCTACAGGTCTGTGTGCCACAGTAAGCATGCTCAGAGAGGAGACCATTTCCTTTCAGCCTCTTAGTGTTGTGGAAACTGCAGCCATTTCATGGAAGTCAGGGAGAGCACAGATACAACCTCTTTTTAAACCGATCCTGCAAGACATTAAAAGGAGCCATCTTTTGTACCCCACACGCACATATCCCCACAAACACACACGTGCACGCACACACAGGCACGGATGGAAGCAGAAAACTGACATTTCAGGGAAGAAGATGGTTATACAAGTTAACCATTCGGTGACTTCAGAAAAGTAGAATCACCTTGCATTGATCTCTCCTCCCCACCTTTGCCAGGAAAGGCTGTCATGAAGATGACTGAGGTGGACTTTCTAAGGATTTGTTGCTAGTGGAATGAATTAGCACATCAACAACAACAACGAACCAGCCATTTGTATTCAATTAAGATTTTTTTCCCTTCCCCCTTCTCTCAAATTAACCCAAGCAAGGTCATCATCAAACTGTATCTTGTGTGGGTTGCCTTGCTAGGGACACTGTATCACTTTGCTTTTTAAAAATGTGTTCTGCCCAGGACCATAAAACTAGCAGATATTTTTAAACTCCCAGCTCTCTGGCCTGTTCCGAGATTCGAGGCTTGAATATCCTTTTAGGATCTCACATTTTCAAAAGAAAAAGCGGAACAACAACCTTCCTTCAACAAAGGACACATGGTTCCTAAGGGCTTTTGCTTAATTACACCATTACATATGTCATTTTCACAGCTTCTTTTAAAGAAGAAATAGATGTGGGAGGGAAGGGAAGATGTTTCTACTGTCAGAAGATGACCAATATTTGGTCCTGCAAAATGCAGGAGGTTTTTTTTATTTTTCCCTGCCTCCCTTGCTGTTTCATACCCTACCTAGCACTGAAGCTGCTTTTCTCTTTTCAGCTATCTTAAAAACATAGTGAACAGGAGAGTTTAAGAGGTAGAGAAACCTTCTATAAAAATAAATTAGGATTCCAAAAGGAGCTCTCATATTTTTTCCCCATTGTTAAAAATTACTCAGCTTCACAACAAGTTATTAAAATGCCTCCTTCCTGCCTCAATGAATATTTGGGGGGGGGGGGGGGGGGCATGTTCCTGCGAGGTGCTGAATCCCCCTCAACTCCCAATGCTGGAGACATCAAATGCCTATTGAACACCTTGCAAGGTGAGAAGCCCCAGTCTGAAATGCACTGAGCAGGCTCCTGGACTCATGTTCCACCTCACAATCTGAAACCTGGGTCTGTTCAAAGATTTTAAGCCAAAGCTACAACAAAGTTTAATGCTGTTTTTATGCCAGTCTGAAGGGCAAAAATGCCCAGGGACACCGCATACAGGATGTTACACAAACCTACGCAGTGGCAACAGGTATTGAGATGCAAGCTTTTCATAACATGGTCCTGTGTTTTAATCAAACGTGTTCATTACATTGATACAGTAACCCAGAACTAACTGGTTAACTTGCTAATAGGCTGGCAGGTTTGTAACTTAGAAGGTATTGTATCCCTCACAGTGCAAATGTACCAAATCCATCAGCTTTAACACATAGTAAACTTAGCAGTCAGCATTTCCATTTTGAAAACTCTTCCCTTTTTCATTCAACTACTGCACGTAAGAGCTCCTACGGTACAAATAAAGTTTTGCACGAGAAGGGTGCTGAATGTATCAAGCATATTCCATCTTTAAGAACAGAGATGAAGCTTATTGCTTTAATGACAGTAACAGTTTGTTTTGTTGGCATTGTTGCTGTTTTTATACACCTGGAAAAAGACAGATGGGGTAGGAATGAGAGACATTTCAGTGGATGCACAGTGCAAAGCCATACTGCTCATGATCATAGTCTTCTGCCAGGAAAGCAGGCAGTAAAAATGGCTGCTTACATTCAATCTCACTTCTGCTGCAACACTCCATCGAAAAGCTGGAGATCATTTTACAGACGACGCTGCTGGTAAAGTTCATGGTCTTTCCCTTTCCTGGCCTCCCACCCAATTTTGTAATACTATGGACAGACATCCATATGAAAATAGGTTCTTTGTTTCTTGGATTCGTCTGTCCGTAATGCTTTTTATTCCTTCCCCAAAATCATGAACTTCAGACTGCAGTATTAAGCGTTGATGGCTCTATAAGTGATTCTGTCAACAGTATGAATTTGTATAAGGAACTGAAGGAGGAGAGGCACTCTTAAAAAGAAAAAGATCCTGTCTTCATGCAAACAGCACTAGT